CCATGTAACTAAATTCCCCCTTACAAATGCACAATAACCGGAAGTAGATCACCTGTCATCTATAGAACCAGTCTAATTAACATCTGTGAATGCCTCCAACGTTAAGTGACCATGATTGAAAAATAAAATCTCTTCTCCAGAAGCAGATTTAAGATACCTCAAAATGTGATACACTGCATCCAAATGAGGGACACGAGGCTCATGCATAAATTGACTTACTATCCCAACTGCATAGGCAATATCTGAACGAGTGTGGGATACATATATAAGTCTTCCCACAAGTTGCTGGTACCACAAGATCACCAACATCACTACAAAGATGGTGTTTTGTCTTAATTGGCGAATCAGCAGGTTTCCATGTAGATCACTTCCACCCTAAGAGTTTGGATCTGAATTTGTCAAGCACAGGTTTCCATGTAGATTTTTTTCCGGGGTTGGCTCCAAGAGGTAGACCCAGAAATCTCAGAGGTAGGCTATAAACTTGACAGTTGAGGAGCTTTGCAAAGGAGAGCAAGAGAGCATCATCCACACCAACACCACACACCACAATTTTGTGATAATTTATTCTAAGACCAGATAAAACTTTGAAGCATCTTAGAACTCTTTTAATAAGCACCATCTGATCCCAATCTGCTTCAGAAAAGATAATTAAGTCATCCGCAAATTGCAGATGAGACAAAAGAACATCCTTTGACCCAACGAGCACTCCTTTAAGTATGCCAAGATTAATTGCTCTGTCCAAAAGAATGTTAAGACCTTCAGACACAATATTGAACAGAAAAGGTGAGAGCGGGTCACCCTGTCTAAGACCTCTTTGTGGTGAGAATTCGGTAGTTGGTGAACCGTTCACAAGAATGGAGATTCTAATTGAAGAAACACAAGTTTTTATCCAAGAAATCCATTTATTCCCAAACCCAAAATTGGACAAAAGAGAGAATAGGAATTCCCAGTTCACAGAATCAAAGGCTTTCTCGAAGTTTAGCTTTAAGATCAGACCAAGCTTCTTGGACTTTTTCCATCCATCCACCACTTCATTGGCAATGAAAACCCCATCTAGGATGTTCCTTCCACCTATGAATGCAGTTTGTGTTTCACCAATGAAGGAGGGTAGAACTGGCTTCAATCTATGTGTTAATACTTTAGCCATAATTTTGTAAAGGGAACTTACAAGACTGATGGGTCTGAATTCAGACAGGCCAGTGGGATTGTCCACTTTGGGAATTAGACTAATAAAAGTGCTGTTGATGCCATAGATCAGTTTGCTATTTGAATGGAAGTCTGCAAAAAAATGCATAATCTCAGGCTTCATGACCTTCCAAAATTTCTGATAGCACAGCAAGTTAAAACCATCAGGGCCAGGAGCTTTGTTGCTATTGCAATCCTTAATTGCAGCCAATACCTCAGCTTCACTGAACTCTGAGACAAGGTGATGAGAAGCATAGTCTGTCCTAATGGTCTTGAATACCCCTCCCAAGACAGGTCTTTTAGCCCGCAAACTGTTTCTTGAAGTGTTGATTGACCTCAAATTTAACCCTGTTAGGATCCTCATAAGATACCCCATTAACTTCAATAGAGTTAATCATGTTCCTGCTCTGTCTGGCATTGGCAAAAACATGGAAAAACCTAGTATTCTTATCCCCATTTAGTGTCCAGTTCAATCTGGATTTTTGGTGCCAAATCCACTCCACCATTCTGTGCAGCTACCACATCTCTCCTCTGACCACTCTTCTTCTTGCCATTTCAGCTTGAACCAGAGGTCTTTCTTCTACCAAGATATCAAATGCATGTAATTCCTCTTCTGAAATTTTGAGTTTGGATGAGACATTGCCAAATACCTCAACATTCCATTTCTTTAATTCTAGCTTTAGATGCTTTAGTTTTTGAACAAGTATGTAGCCAGCCCATCCAGTAACCGAAGTGCTGCTCCAGATATCGACAAAGAATTTGGAAAAGCTTGGATGAAGAGTCCAGCCATTTAGAAACCTGAAAGGTCTGGGTCCCCAATCTCTTTCATCTTCCATCATCAATAGAGGACAGCGGTCTGAAATTAATCTAGGCAGTCCCCATAGCTTCATTATGAAATTAATCAGCCACTCAGGGCCAAGCAGAACTCTATCTATACCGCTCCATTTCTCAGATTCCTAAGCATTACACCAAGTGTATTTCCTTCCACAAAGAGGTAAATCATTGAGCTCACATTTCCCAATAAACTCATTAAGATGATGCATCCCCCTATCCCTCCTGGAGCAGCCTACCATTTCTCCTATATGCCTAATTTCATTAAAGTCCCCACCCACACACCAAGGAGCAGGGAAATGGTCTTTAAGCTTGAGGATATCAGCTCATAGAGTTGATCTAGCACTGATATCATTTGGTGCATATATGTTAATCAAAACACAATCAAAAGAGTTGTACAGGGAGCCAAAAAGCAAGATGTACCTCCTATTACAACAGCAACTAGAGGGTTGGAAGACAGCAGGGTCCCAAATACATAGAAGCCCACCAGCAGAGCCTTCAGGATCCACAGACATGTATTCCATATTTCTGCATCCTCAGAGCCTTCTAACAGCATTATCAGAAACAACTGCTTTCTTAATCTCTTGAAGGAAAACAATATCAACATGCTTGTCTTTTATAAGACTTTTGATTCTGCCCTTCTTCTCAGGTTTACCCAAACCCCTAATATTCCAAGATAGTAGCTTCATAAGTAAACAGAATAATACACTCAAGTCACCCATTTACAGTGTTTTATTTCTGAGCCATCCCCTTTTTAGTGATTTTGGCTTTATCCTTCAGCTCTAGGTCAATTATCTTGTTTAAAACCACATCCTCCTCACCGTTGTAATTAACACCCAATGATTTCCCCAATTGTAAAGTAGCTTTGGCTTCTTCAAGAAGATAGTTGTTCGAAGATAAGCCACTTTTAGATAAATCAGACTGAGCAAAGGTAGAAGTTGCCAGTTTAAAAATGACAGACTTGGAGGAATTCTTATGAGCTGCTGCAGTTTTGAAGCCATGGAATCTAGCAAAGTTGTTGAATCCCTCTATATGAGCCATCTTCTTCCCTTTTTTCCTCTCAGTTTGCAGTGGTTCTGGATAAGGAATAAGAGATTTAACTTGGGCTGTTTGATTGAGATTTACTAAACTTATTCCATTTGGCCCTAACTTGTTTGAACGCCCAGCAGATTGTAAAAGGGCCATATGACCAGATTCAACAGCCCTATTAGAAGAGCCACTGGCTAGGGACCTATTCGGTACATGGGCCAAATTAACCTCCAAGTTGATACCAGGCCCAATGCCAGGCCCAAGGTCTTCAATAAGTTCGTTGGCTAAAATGACATCCAAATTTATACCAGGCCCACATCCATCTTTAGATTTGCCAGATGAAGGAGCTTGCTGAACACACCTCAATGTGTTATCATTATTTTTTGAATTTTACTCTGACCCTTCCATCAAAGTCCCCTCAACGCATGCTCCCTCTATCCTGATGGAGCCTCCAGCACAGAGAGTCTCTTCAACAACAGTTCCTATTTCCTCCCCTATGTAACTGCAACTAGACTCTTTCCTTCGTTCAATCCCGTTAGTGCAAACCAGGTCAGTACCTAACAAAGCTCTCATCTATGCCACCTCATCACCATCGTTTTTGTCCCTTACAGCTGCCTCTGGAGTGTTTCTAACCTCCTCACTGTTACTGGCTTTTGTGAAGTTGAAGTCTTTCATTCTTGATATCTTCAACCCACCAGAATCGGCTGAATGATCTTCGCATACAAGAATGGAATAAGAGATACCCTTACACTCCAAAAAAAATGGTTTTGTTGATAAGTTCCATGCACGTAGTAGCTACTCTGATTCTAGTGTGAGAAAAAGATTTAGGATGACAGATATCACCATCTAGGCTGAGAATGGTGCCCCATACCTAACCAATGCTGTTAACTGTATTCCTATTCCAGAGATGCAGGGGTATACCATAGCACCTCAACCAAATGCACCTCTCCTGCTGCAGATGGAGATTTGGCTTCCAAACCATCACAAATTGGCTCCAGCCCTTGAACCACTCTCTAATCTTGCTAATGTTTGACTGTAGCTCATTGGTAGATTTAAAGGATAGCATTATATCTCGACCTCCCCCTTTCCTGACTTCTACCTGCTCCAACCCTTTCTCTTTCAGAGCTTTCATAATGTTGTGTGTGGTAAACTCTGTGTTAAATCTAACAATTGCACTATCATAGAGCCAACCATTGCCCTCTTCATTAACTTTTATAGTTATATTTGAGTTCCCATCCAAAATAGAGGTATCTCTTTTTAGTACTTCAGCAAAAGATCTGTGGCCCACATATGCAACATTGCCCCTGATATTAGTTGTATCCATGCTCCTTTTGGTATCCTGAGACTTTCTCTTGCTCTGTTCAGATCTGTTATTCCTATTGTAGGTAGCCATTTTAACCACAAGCATCATGCCATCCACAAAAAGGCCATTCGCTTTTTGGATGGCAACAGATGCTGATATATGACAGTCATAACGGACAAACCCGAACCTTGAGTTTGTCACTTTCCTTCTTTTGAATAGGATGTAAGCATCATTCACGATCCCGAACTTGGTAAAAAGTTTGTACAGAGCTTTAGCGTCCATTACTGAAGGGATGTTATCAACAAATACAGTGAAGAAACCATTTTTTCCTTCCTTACTCTGAGCGCCACCGCTTCTCCACTGTCTCGTCATCGGAATCCAACCACCGTTTCTGAGTTACACCATTTCTTGACTATCAAAAATAGCAGTTACATATCATTCCATTTTAAGTCTTGTGACTTGTTTGACCATAATTTCTACTTTCAGTTTTTTTATTATATATATATGACATTGTTTGTATAGTTATTTTAATGATTTTTCTTTCATTTTCCTCATGTATCTTTTTTATGAGTGCAGTGAGGTGGCAAAAGCAGTTTCAAGGATCATAGCTCTTGCACTTGACCTAGAGGTGGACTTTTTTGATTGACAAGAAATGCTTGGGAAGCCTATTGCAATCTTACGTCTGCTACATTATGAAGGTGAAAATTAAAGTAAAGATCATGGAATCCTAATGTAAATGATGTCACTTGTATCATGACAAGTGTTTGGTTATTCTTTAGGTAGAGTTTTTGATCCCATGAAGGGAATATACGGAGCAGGTGCACATTCTGATTTTGGTTTGATAACACTGTTGGCAACAGATGACGTCTATGGTCTCCAAGTATTGATATAGTTAAAATTTGAAATATATTTCCACTATATTTTGAGGAAAAGGGATTGTAATCTTTTCAATTTATTATAGATATGCAGGGATAAGGATGCTAAACCTCAGAAATGGGAATTTGTAGCACCATTGAAAGGGTTAGTGAATAGAATCTTCACAAAATTGCCTTGTTTCGAAGGGCCCTGCTAGGATTCGCTCTTAGTTATTAAAAAAAAAAAGTTTACGTAGTTCTAGACAATATTAGACACTTTTATTGGATGTAGTCTAAGTATTGTAACATGTTTTTTTGTGATTATGCCCTGAAGTTGCATGAAAGAGACCATATATTACATTTAGCTACTACAATTTGTTGTAGAATGAATATTTTACTATATGATTAGTATTTTCTTACTGTCTTGATGATTGAAATCTAACTTTCAGAGCATTTATAGTGAATCTTGGCGACATGCTAGAGCGCTGGAGCAACTGTATTTTCAGGTAATGTGCATTTGTCAAAGTTCCCAAATGATGGCTTTGTGGCTTCATGACAATCATTCCACATTTTTTTTTTAGTTGTTCATTGTGAGATAATATTGAGTATGATATGGGACATTGCCTTCTTTATAGCTTAAATTTCGGAACAATAATTTCTCATTGCCACCGACATGAATGTCAATTTTTCTAGTACATGGTCTGAGTGTTGGGATTATAATTTTATGATACTTGGGTTTCTGTGTGTTATTCAGGTCCACATTGCATTAAGTGTTGGGTAATGGTCAAGAGAGATATTCTGTAAGTCCCCTTTAGAAGCTTTTGAATGTTCTCTAATTGAATTTCCCACAAGGGATGTTGATTATTGCCTCATTATGCAATATTATCGTCTAATACACACAATGGCTCTTTTTTGTTTTTGTTTTTTGATTTGTTAAGCAGATTGCATACTTTGTGGAGCCTAGTCATGATTGTGTCGTGGATTGCTTGCCCGCCTGCCAGTCACAAGAGAACCCTCCCAAGTATGAATTGAACACTGATAAACTGTTCATACCTGTATCTGATCTAAGTATGAACATGAATTAACCATTGATAACTGCAACTGATCTGAGTACGTATGATCACAAATTAACCATCACCCACACAATGACACGAGGAAACATGCAACGTATGTGGACAACTAGGAACCTCTAAATGTACTCCAAAACAATGGTTGGACCCCTTTCCTTTGGACACTCCAATTCTCAAATTTAAATTTTGTTGATTTTCTTTGAACACCCCAACCTCGGCTAACCACCCAGCCGCCGACGCCACCTCCACCACCCCTTTCTTTCCCTCCCCTTGCTCCTTGACAACCCCTTCTTCTTCTTTTTTTTCCGATGCCCCCACACCTCTCCATGAAACCCCCCACCCCTCCCCTTCTCTCCCTCTTAAGGCCAAATCCTAACCATCTCACCCAGCAGAGAGAGAGAGAGAGAGAGAGAGAGAGAGAGAGAGGTGGGGAAATGAAGTGGGGAGCCTTGGGAAGTAGCACAAGTGTGTGTGTGTGTGTATTGGGGTTGGGGGGGAGAGAGAGAGGGGATGGACGAGACGAGGTGCCAGTGTGGCACTCAAGGTGGGTAAGGGGCTGGGAGCTATGTTACATGGACTCTTTAAAATAGATTAAATACCCGTGTCGGACACCCGACACTTGGACAAGGGTGTGTGTAAGATATGTATTCAATATTTTCCATTAGACATTTCTTGTATTTTTATATTTAACGTTATCATTATATGTATATATGGTTGTATAATTACTATAAAATGAGTAAAATGCGTTTTTGACATTATATGTTACATATAACACTATTTTATCTCATATAATAGATTAAAAATATAAAAATATGATCATTTTTTGTCGAGTCCGTGTACCGTTAAATTTGAGATTTGATGGGTTTAACCTCTAGGTACGCACCTACACCCGACACTCGTACCTGAGTCCATGTAACATACGTTGGGCGTGGCACCGGAGGGTGGGGGAAGGGCTGAGTTTGACAGGAGGGTCTTTCCGGAGTTGGGTTTTGTTCTTTTTTGTAATTTGACTTAGGGGCAAAATGGTATTAAGGAAAAGGGAAAAATTCACTTTACTCCCTTGTGGTTTGAGTCCGGGGCACTTTACTCGCCCATGATTCAAATATAGGCATATCGATCATTACTTTTCCTGTTCAAAATAACAGAATTTGTAATGCACGCGCTGATTTGGATTATGCCCCCTTATGGTTTTGGGCTAAATTGCCATTGTTACCTTTTTTGTTCAAACTAACATAGTTTGATTTGTTCAAAAAAAAAAAAAAAAAAATTGTGATGCACACGCCTTTGGAGAGTGAGCATTTGTTTAAACAAAAAATTGAAAAAAATAAGAATGAAAATGACATTTTGGCCCTCATCTTATCCAATTACTTCCAAATTTATTACACGAGCAACCAAATCCCTACAAACCCTAACCCTAACCAACCACACTTTCCCTCTCTCCCACCACCTCCAACCACCCCATCGCCCCTCTCCATGCACTCGCCCCATCTTGCCTTCCTGAGCACCAGTGCTGCCGTTTCCTCTTACCTACACAGTCCTTGTCCCCGACCCATTTTCCCTTTTCAGCCCCTCGTTGGCACTCCCCTCTCCCCTCTCAGTCCATCACCATCTCTTCATCTCCCTCCATATATGTAAGTACATGTGTGTATAATTAGGAGTGGAGTTAGGTTAAATAATTAGGTATATAGATTTGTGTACAATTAACATTTTCAGTAGTTTACATAATTAGTTGTATATGTGTGTGTGTGTGTATAAATAAATAGTAATTGAAAGTTAATAGATGGTTTAATTAATAAAATATGTGATTAAGTTAAAATTAAGTGTATAATAGTAGAGATAAAGCAAATTATTAGTATTATTTTTTTTTCATGCAACGGTAAAATAGTCTTTTGACGATTAGCTTTAACTGATGTTAGGTTGCTTTTCAGTCTAAAATCACAATGGGACAATATGCCTATATTTAAATCACAAATGGTAAAGTGCTTCGACCTCAAACTATATGGGGATAAAGTGAATTTTTCCTTACAAAAAATTATGAAAGTTAGGATATCCAACAATAGCTAAGCTGTTGTCTAATTAATCGAAAACCTTTGTGCATTAACAAAAATTCTTTAAAAATATGCTGAACTTCTTTGTTTTTATGAAGCTTCGCTATTTTTATTGTTGCTTTACGACCAGGTTTCCTCCAATCAAATGTGAAACTTACATGCTCCAGTAGTACAAGGATACTCAAGCTGTTCTCGAGTCATACAAAAAATGATACACCAAACTCAGTCGTCAATATTGTTGGGATTTTCGCTTCATAGTGTAGTACACGGAGGTTAGCTTCTTCCTGCCATGGTTTGTATGGAAACAGGGTTCTCTTAGTTGAATATTGGAGAAATATCATATAATCTTTTCTTTGGTAATATGTGAAATATGAACTAAAAAATTATTATTTTTTTTAACATTATTTGGTTCGCTATGTTTTTAACATTATTTGATCCTGAACGAATGTCCAGTGTAGGGCTGCAAATGAACCGAGCTGTTCATGAACAAGCTTGGCTTGGCTTAGCTTGGCTTGGCTCGTTAAGGGCTCGGCTCGGCTCGTTTAGTAAACGATGAGCTCGGCTCGTCAAGCTTGGCTTGTTTATCTTTATTTAAATTATATAATAAATATATTATTTATCTATTAAATAATATAAATAATATTTTTTATTTAAATAATATAAATAATATTAAAAAAAAAATTATCAAGTCGAGTCGAGTCGAGCTCGAGTTTCATTAATGATAACGAGGTGAGTTGAGCCCGAGCCCAGTTTCTTCTCGAGTTGAGCTCGAGCTCAATAAACAAGCTCGATAAGTAAACGAGCCGAGCTTGAGCTCAGCAAAGCTCGGCTCGGCTCGGTTCGTTTGCAGCCCTGGTCCAGTGGACGTTCATTAGCAAGATTCTATATTGTATGCTACATTTACTTCATGTTTCTCCAATCTTGGAAAAAATAGAATTGACATGTCATGCCATTAGTTCATTAGCAAGATTCTATATTGTATGCTACATTTACTTCATGTTTCTCCAATCTTGGAAAAAATAGAATTGACATGTCATGCCATTAGTTCATTAGCAAGATTCTATATTGTATGCTACACTTCATGTTTCTCCAACCTTCAAAAAAATAGAACTGACGTGTCATGCCATTAGTAGAACTGTAAATGAACTGATTTGTTCACAAATTGAGCTGGGCTTGACTCAGAAAGAGTTTGACTTTGCTGAGTTTGTTTAGATAAGCTCAAACTATATTTTTACGCTAGTTTAATAAATTCAGTAAGAGTTTGATTCTCCTCAATTTCTTTACATATATATAAACGAGCTCAAACCAGTCATTTAGGCATTTATTAAAGAAGGCACACTCTAGGTTTGAGTTAAAAAATTTATTCATTGTTGAATTTTGAGCCAAACTAACTTTTCTTTTTTAAGCTCAATAAACAAACAAGTTTGACTCGACTCTGCTCATTTTCAACACTAGCCACTAGGAACTAAAAATTGAGAGAAACAGATCAATGGTGAAGATACCATTTATCTTTAGGGCCACTTGGAACTAACAACTGACAGAAACAGATCAATGGTAAAGATGTCATTCAGCTTTCGTGCCAAAGACCACAGGGATTGATTTATTACAAAACACGGGTATTCTATTACAATTACACATTGAAGTAAGGAAGTCATGCCAAAATTTTTGTCCCGCGCTCTCATATCCTTATGTTTCAAACTCTCTCTATCACATAATTAGAGTACAGCTCAACATGAAAAGTTAGTAATACATCTCAAGAATGACAAGCTCGGAATTCCAAATCCTCAAGTAAGGTAAGTGGTTGATTCTACAAGTACCACCACTTTGGATGCTTCACACATCAGTCTGAATTTCTTCATATTTCCACAGCTCTTAGTAACTTCACAGACTACTAAACTGGTAGTGAGTAGCGGATGAAGTAGATAGTGTTTTCAGCTAAAACTTACCTCTCAAGAATATATAACAGACACTAAAGAAACACACTACATTACTACTAGCCATAGTTTCCATTCACAATTCAACAATTCATCGAAAGCTTTTGTAATTGGTAGTATACATGCAGCTTTCAGCGTACTTCACTAGATTCTCAAGCTGAAGGAGATGCATTGCCACGCCTACAAAACATTGTGAAAGTTACAAAAATAAGCATGTTTCAAGGGGCAATCACAGCGGTGGTAAGACACATGAAGCAACCAAAGGTACATTCACTAACTCACCAAGTTCATATTCTTTAGCGGCTACATCAGTAGCAAATGTGGGCCGAGATCTTTATGATATTAGAGAATGGTGGATAGATCAAACCCTTGTCGAAGTTCCCTTTTGTTACTTGCCAGCCAAATCCTCTGCTGTTACAAAGGAAAGTTGATAAGTTAGATACAAAGGTGAACCATTCTATATATTTGTTGTGCCCGTTTGCATAGAAGGAACTTCAATTCAATAGGTTTTGCCAAAAGTTTTCCACTGTGCTTCGCACATGATTATGGGCAGCCTAGTGTACGAAGCTTCTACTAAAACAGGATCTAGAGAGGATAAGATATATATAGCCTTTCTTTCATTTTTGAAGAGACTGTGTCTATGACTCAAACCTGTGCTACTAGGCAGAACCAGAAAATTAAATTAGGGGGCACTTATTAATTACAATATCGAAAAATTTTACAAAAATATTCCACGCAAGTTTTTACAACTGATTTCGAGAAATATCAAAAAAATAATGTTATTTATAACTAGTGTACCATGGATAATATAAAAAATATGGATATAAGTCTTAAAATAAATTATATAATGATAAATTATTTTTTTATACAAAATTTGATTAAAAATTTAATATAATGGTAATATCACGTCATCATTAATATGCGATATCACCAACTAATAGTAAAAAAATACATAGAGAGTGAACCTCATATGTCAAATGTAACTAACAATCCAATAAATTTTATATCTTTATAGTGAGATTACTTATATTTG